TATATATATAATTATACTTTATATTACAATTTTCTTAAAAATATATCACTCTATACTATTAATGATTAACATGTTAATATTAATTATATGTTAATTGTAACATTAGCATTGGTTTTACTTCCTTACTTTATACAACTTATTTCGATCATATCTCAATTTTACATTTCATTTTTCCTTAACTTTCTAAAATTTTTTTACGATACTTTTTTTTGAAATAAGTGTAGCATCGTTGAAGATACATAAAAATAATAAATTAAACCAGAAACCTTTAACAAGGTAGATGAATCTTATCAAATACTCTTTCCAAGAATTAACAAATTTTTTCGCAAAAGAACTATTAAATAATTCTTTCAATTAAAATTAGGGAAGGTATAGATAAAAAATAATACGATAAATCTTTTTTTTATTTCTTATAACGATTTTTTGTATTGCGGAATAGACATTCGAACACACCTGCGCTAGTTATTTTGAGTCGCAGAGGTGACGCACGCGTTTCGCTAACAACTAAATTTCGCGGGTACGAGACGATTGGTGGTGTACAGAGCCGGTGACTGCGTTAGTTATATTCTCTGTCTCGGACAGTTTTCCCTCCTTGTCCTCGGTAGTTCACAATGGCATTAAAATTACCGAGAAAATTCAATTCCCTGCTGGATACGTATCCCACGCTCGTGTAGCTATACAGCCTACGCTCGCGCGCTCGGCCATGCGCGAAGAAAAGCGAAAAATCATGGCGGACGGATGGCAGTGTCAATCCGGAACGTGTTTAGGTAGGATAAAAGATCCGTTCTTTTATTACTGCATTAGAACGTTCCTTCTCACTTTCGCTAAAGAAGTTAAACAATTTAACTTAATAAATGTATGTTAATTTGATTCAAATTTAAATTATTGTTTAATCATAAGTGCATACAATTTTAATGAATAAGTGTGTGTGTGAATAAGCAAAATTGGAAATCAAGTCCCTTCTTCGAATGTAAACTGAAGTAATAATTATTATTATTTTAGTTCACATGCTGAGAAGAGACTTGATTTAAAGTTTTTTCTACTAAGTACGTTAATTTGAACGCTGTTTACTTTGAAACTTCAATTTGATCACAGAAATAGATTGATTTAATATTTTCTTTTTACTACGTGTTTTATATTAAAATAATACATATTTTATGTATTATTTTATTTATATAAAATAATACATATTATACTCTTGGAAGCTAAAGATAATAAAATGTTATTAATTTAAGAAATTGATTTAAACTCTTTAATATTTAATAGTGTAAACAGTCAAGATAATCGCGCATTTGATAATGTGATAATGCGAAAATTAAAAAACACTCGTTCTCTGACATGTTGTCCGTAAATGGAGGAAGACGTAAATTTGAGAGAGAGAGAGAGAGAGAGAGAGAGAGAGAGAGAGAGAGAGAGAGAGAGAGAGAAAGAGAAGGGGGAGGGGGAAGAGGAAAATGAGGGCAAAATGAAAATTTACTTTGTAAATCGGAATAGGTTGGAATATTTGAGTTCGTGACGAGCCATATCGTTCTATTAAATCTTTTCTAAGAGTATTATAGATTTCTTAAACGCGTAATTTTACCAATATATTGTTGCATTAAACAGCTTTGATCATACTATGGTTGTCAAACAATTTTGTCTCGCAAGTAATTTGCATAGATCATTAAAGAAATATAATTAATGGAACTTTTGCCGGAATAAAAATAACCTAAAATTATCACGATATTAGTGCTATATTGAAATTTAATTGGCATTAAAATCACTCAATAAATATTTACGCAAGTGCTGATGATCCTTGAGAAAAATATCATTTTGTTATTTTTAACTTCTATGTACGTCAAAGTGTAAATCAGTTCTATTTTAATTTTAAAGTAAACTACAACACACGTCTATATTAACGTATGCACTTAGTAATAAATTAAATTTGAGTCATTAACACATTTTCTATAGTTAAATTAGTTAACTCCATTGTTTCAATTAAATTAACAATATATTGAGCAGTGGTGACCTATAGAAATTGTAAATAATTCGAACTGGGTATAATTTGACATTATAAATTTAAAAATATAATTTCGTGAAAATGTCTTCTGGAGTATTAATGGCGGAACATCAAATCGATAATAAAGCAAGTGATATAGATATGTATGTACACATATACACAGGCACATATAATAATATAAAATATAAATTTTGAACAAAAAATACTTTTCTTTAAAAATAACTTTTATAAATAACTATGAGCTTATTTTCTCCTAGGAAACTTCATTCTCAGAGAGATTTATCTTAAGAGAAATTGGACGCTTTTGTATACTATTTAATAAATATTTGTAACAAGTTATATATTACGTAATATGTTATATACAAGTTTTTATATTTTTATAATATAATAGTTTAGATCTTGAATCAAATTGGCTCTCAAAAGACAATGTAGAGTAATTTTAAAGACATCTTAATCATTTAAATATAAAACGTTTTTTCACGTCTCTTTAAATGCTTTTTGATGTTCAAATTCTCTTGTCGAAGAATTTCTCAGGCTGAACGAAGATATGTTCAGTCAAAAATATCCTGTATATGTCGTGCACAACTACGTAACCAGTAACCACTATGGATAGCTTAGGTTGGTTAGTTAGCGTGCAA